TTCCGGGTTTGTCGTAATCCATTTCCTCTTATAGCCTTGGCATCCCCATGCAGTCCGTAATTTCTCAGACTGCAGTCATGGCCGTTTTCTACACCCACAGCCCCACAACCTGCCCCATGTTAAAAGAAAATGAAGTGTTAAATTTTCTAGTGCATCCAGGCTCAATATTGGCTCCGGATGCACCTAGAACATGTATTTTATCTCCCCCATGCAATTTGTTACAACTCGGACTGCAATGGGGGTTAATTCCTTGCCATAATGCCCTACAACTAGTCGTTACTCAAAAGAAAAAGAAACGGCCAATTCCCAAGTGCATCCGGACTTGGTTTTGACTCCGGATGCACCTAAAACATGTGTTTCTCCTTATGCATGTAATTCGTTTTATTCCGGTTGCAAGAGGCTTTGATTTTCTTTTATTTTCTCTGCAAAAATAAAAGAAAATTAAAGTCCTTTGTAACCGGCATATTCCAGAATGAATCTGGTCACGGATGAATCTTCCCAAGTGACCGTTTTTGAAAATTAAGATTTTTTTCCCGTAAAGTTTTTTTTTTTTTTTTTTTTTTTTTTTTTTTTTTTTTTCTTAGTTTCTCCCTCTCACTCTTTTTGCCTTATTTTTCCACATTTTTTTTTATTTTCTTTTTTTTTTCTAGCATGCTAAGTGTCAAGTGGCCGTTAAGGCCCTTTTCTAGCATCTTCCTCTTAGTTTCTCCCTCTCACTCTTTTTGCCTTATTTTTCCACATTTTTTTTTATTTTCTTTTTTTTTTCTAGCATGCAAAGTGTCAAGTGGCCGTTAAGGCCATTTTCTAGCATCTTCCTCTTAGTTTCCGCCCTCTCTATGCCCATGGTGCAATCCGTTATTTCTCTGACTGCAATAGTGATCTTCCCATGCCCATGGGAGTTTCCTTTTACTCCTACATTTCTCCCATAGTGACCCCTCCTACTCCGATTTTCTCTTAGGGGCTATTTTTCACATAGGGCCTCTTTTGTCTCCATTTTCCTAGGGGAGGCTAATCCGAGATTTTTCGGATTGCTCCTATGCCTTCAAATTCAGTTTTCTTTACTTTTTCTTTTCCTTTTGGCCTTCCCGTTTGTCACCACTAGTGCTTGCGCTAGTGGTGCTAATATTCTTGGCCGTCAAGATGTTGATCTTGACAATGTGCCTTGCATTTATTATTTTCCCTCATGTGGTGCCACCGTTTCTTCTTGGGACTTTCACATGTCCCCGCCACTTGTCCCGTCGGTGGTCCCCGACACTTAGTCCCGCCGGTGGTCTCCGGTACTTGGTCACGCCGGTGGTCCCCGACACTTAGTCCCGCCGGTGGTCCCCGACACATTTCGCCCCGGATGCCATTATTTTTACTTAGTCCCATGTGGCCCCGGGTGCCTTTCCCCGAGGTATCCCATGCCCCTTGGGCGTCTTGTTGTCCCATAGCAACCCTTCTCCTTAGTCTTTCCTCGCGCCTTGTGCGCGCCGATCATTTTTGGCCGTGGGCCTCCGCTTCGAGGCTCTCGTAGGTGGCCTCCACGTTGGCTCCTCATTTCCTGGCTTCCCGCGGCCTCTGGGCCGCCCATCCCTCGACTTCCTCATTCCTTTATCGCTGCCATGCTGCATTTGCTGGTTCAAGGGGCCGTTTGGCCTTAGTCTTATTGCATTCCGATAACCCTCCCGACCTCCTGCTATGTTCTACGTGCCCCTGTTCTTGCGCTCGCTCGCTTGCTGCCACTTAGTTGTTTCCCCCTGTGGTTCTCGCCCCAGGGCATTACTCCCTCCTGTGGCCTAATCCTTTATCTCGTCTTACTCTGGATTTCTCTGTTGTGCACAATTCGTCTATATTTGGTCTCTCAAGTGATGGGAAGTTATTCGGGACTCGCCAGTCCCGACACATTCCCCCCACTCTTTCACGATGTCCTCATCGCGCACCAATCTCTTGTAAGTGAGTTTCGGATGGATAGATGAGAGAGGGAGATGAGATGTTACGGATGGTTAGTTTGTCAGGGTCCGTTTTGTTCTTTTCTCATTTCTTTCTCAAAATTTTTCTTAGCTTCCGCCCATTGCGGTGGAGGAGGGTATGGGGGAGTCGAAGGTTCTACATCTTAGACCTGGTTGCTCATTTACGTCATAGCTCTGCCTCTTTATCTTTCCCTCAATCGAGATGCGAACTTCCTCTTCAGTCAACTCTGTACACCCATCGGGGCAGCCCATAATTCTTTCGCCTTCAGTAACATGAAGCAGACGAGACTCTCCTCGCTCCATGCACTTGACTACTGGTATGCTGGCTTTATTCCCCGGATGACATATTGTTGTCATAACACAAATGGTTTCCTCACTTTATGCCTTGGCATTGTCGATAACAAATTGTAGGCAAGTTTTCGGATGTGACTCAATGTCAGGCATTTGCTCCGGAAGGGGGGTGTTTGTCCAGTACAACCGTCGCCTTTGCTGTGGTGATACCCACTTCGAATCAGTGAACCCAGGCACAACTCCCCTTAAGTGCTTCGTAATCTCTAATCTATCTTTCCATTTCATTGAGAAAACATTCTCGGGCAGAATCCATTTTGGTTTCGCCTCGTTCATTACTCTTAGAGTCATAAAAAGTAATTTACTTCTCGGTCCGTACAATCCATGTTCTCCCGTCATTCTTTCCTCAGTCTCATGCTTAGCCAGTTCCTATGTATTTTTCCCATGTCATTTTGCCCAGCTTATGTGTGGCATCCTCATTCGTCATTTCTCGTATCCAAGCTTTAAAGTGCGCATTACTCAGTCCATCTTATTCACATCTTTCTTCTGGCCAGTTGCCAGACCTTTCTCATACTCATGCAAAAGTCCATTATACCTGTATCTTTTTTTTGGGCGTCTTGTCATACTTTTCCTTAGGTCTACGCAAAGCCAATTTCACATATGTTTCTTTTCTGAATATCCTTTCACCCGGTATCACACCCGATTCCTCCCTCTAGACAGTGCTGCTCAACTTAACGCGAGCAGCCATGGTCCATTCCAAACGGCCAAGCCGCCCCTCTACGGCATAGCGTGTGGTTGGGGGGGAAAAATAAGACTTAGGAAAAAGAATGGCTCTATCGCCCGTTTGGCACCACGCCCTTAACGTTTTGAATTTCAACATGAGGCGCAGTTTGAACTCCTTGACTAAAGCTCGTTGTCGGGGTTAGTTCCGGACGACCAACATCAATCAAAGAGAGAGGTGCTTTGGTTCTTCAACCCTTATTCCTTCTTATGAGGAGCAGGTCGCGCTGAGACTTTTCCCTTAACGGGTAGAGGTCTTGGGGTCGCGATGTAGGCATTGCTATCCCCCTTATGTTGAGACATGGAACTAGGAAAAAAAGGAAAGCTCAATCTCTTGCTATTTCCATGGTCAGTCCGACGACCTTTCATCAAGTTCAAGTTGCCTAGGGTCCCCTGACTATGCAATGCAATATCCAATTCTCGGTCATTTAATCCGATGCTATTTCCAAGGCTGATTCTCATGGCTGGTCCGGCAGCCTCTCATCAACAAGGACACCCATATGACTGATCTGGTTGTCATTCTCTCAATAGTCATTTCTCAAGACCGACTCTTATGCTCATTCAATCATCAATTCTCTCATTCCTCGACACCCAATTTTTGTGATCGTCCCAACGGTCCCTGCCCTTCTTGGCTTTAAGGCTCGGCCTTCTTTATCTTACCCTTCTCATTCACATCTTTCTTCCGCCCCCTTGGCTATTTCAGCGGCCGACTCACCGGCCTTTTCATCTCTCTCATCCATCCATTGACTATTTCAATGACCGACCCACCGTCCTTTTCCATCTCTTTCATCCATCCATTGGCTATTTCAATTACCGACCCACCGGCCTTTTCCATCTCTTTCGCTCATTCCAGCACATTCTTAATCAACCTTTCTCAATCAAATATGCAGGGGACCCCAGTGCCTATTTCAAAAGGAATGACCCTTGTCAGAGACCGTTCCCGAACAACCTAGTTGGGGTCGTTCTTTTCCATTCTCAAGTCGAACAGCCTGATTAGGGTCATTCCTTTCCATTCTTAAGTTGAACAGCCTGGTTAGGGTCATTCGTTTTCATTCTCCTGTCGAACAGCCTGGTTAGGGTCATTCCTTTCCATTCTCAAGTCGAACAGCCTGGTTAGGGTCATTCCCTTCCATTCTCAATGTTAGTGCCCGAGGGGGTGGACCTCGAGGTTACGGATCCTAGTTCTGTCTTGGAGGTTAGAAGGTGGTCATCTGATCTCAACTTTTAGCGTGTTGTTCTCTTTCTTTCATTTCCCACAGTGATGTACTATCCATGCATACATCCGACTTAGCGTCTAGTACTTGAGTTGGAGCTCGCGGCCCCAAGCAGCACTAGCCCACCCGACCGTTCAGCCATAGCGAAAGACGGGGGCGCCCCTTCCATTTTCACTCTTTCAGATCACTCAGATTTCGGCTATTCTCAGACTCATTCATGACTCAGTTAGATTAGGCTCCTAGGGAAGGAGTGTTCTTCACGCCCCTTAACCCATAGGTTATCTAACCTCTCTTGTACTCGACATTCAATGCCTTGCTTTGCTCGTCAATCTGCGCTCAAAATTTTTTTCCTCAAAAGGCACAATCCTCATTCCATCCAAATTTCACAATACACCCTTCCCAACTGGTCTCATCCCAAATCTCATGTCTTTGTCTTATGTACCCATCTTAGAAGGTGGCTCATCCAAAAAGTAGCCTCAAAAACTATCTTCTATCTTATCGTGACACAGCCTTAGTTTACCCTCTTTTCACTTCGTCCTTAGCAAGTTTGCCCATACTGTACACGTTCTCGTAATTTTCATGTCTCTTGCAAACGAAAAAAAAGAAAAAAAGAAAAAACAGCGACTCTTTTCAATACTAAATCAACATCTAGTTCTTATTGCTGCCTTGCGCCTCGTCTTGCCCAGTTCCTTGTCCTCCCTGTTGCTCGGCAGGCTTCCTAACCCCCAGGCCGTAGGTCTCGATTTCTCTCTTCTTTCTTGCAATTTCCTGTAATTCAGTTTCATTGAAGAAGTCCAATGGTGTAGCTTCCACCCCCGCCTTTGCGAGTTCCCGGGTCTTGATAATCCATTCGTGTCTGATCGCATTGGTCTATTGCTGAAACCAATGACCGGGTGTTGGCCGAAACTCGTTCTCCCATCCGAAAGCCCCATCGCTCAGCTGGTGCATCGGAGACCGCCCTTCTTCCCTAGGCCTCGAGATCTCATCCCTCTCATCCCCGCTGCTGATTTCTATGACTTCTCGTACATCCTCCTCCTCGTCCTCCTCGTCTTCTGTCTGTATGGGGCTATACCCACCTGCAAGGTTCTTCGGATCGTAGGTAAAATGAATCTCTGTCCCCGTCCCATACCCTTCACAACTGTCGTGACCGCTTCGTCCTTCAAGCGGGTTTTCCCTTCTCTCCTCACCCTCCTCATGTTCGTCGCGCATGTCTTGTCCCCCCTCGCTTTCCCCATGCCAAGTCTCACGTCGTTTGCCCCTGTTGGCTCCTTCCTCGTTAGAGACCTGAACCTTATCTCCCATATCTGCATTGCCTCCTTCTTCCACTTCTGCCTTTTCCTTCCCTCCCTCACTGTCAGACGAGATTTCTATACCTTCTCCCTTGCGGAGGGGTGAGGGTTTCCTACACAAGCATTTCCTTCCACCCCTGCCTACCACTGGCTCACCCATGAGTCCTATGTACAACTTTCTCTTCGCCGCCCTCCTCCCTTGGCTTGGTCCTGCTTCCTCCCCTCCGGTAGGCCTGTTGATCGCCCCGCTGYCGTTCTCGTTGCCGAATTTCATTTTTTTGTCTTTTCTCGTTTTTCTCCTAGGTCCTCTATAACAAAACAACACCCGCAATGCCCAGCATACACACATTCCCCCCAGTCTGGTAGACAACTCCCTTTTTCCAAAAATGCTCCCAGTATCCTTCGCATCTTTTATACATTTCCCTCCCTTATGCAAAAGCGTCGTTTGTGAAGATCCTATTTTTTCCCCGTCAAAATATATGGTACAATGCCCCAAACATCCCTTCCCGTCGTCGCACAAGCCTGATATTGCAACCCCCCAAGTCATGCTGCCTTTCAACCTCAGTCAGTCCAAGCCATTGCCCCAGTCCCCCAAAAATGACAGTCTCATAGACATGGTCAGAGACAAACCATAATGTGGGCAACGTTGTGGTCAGTCTTTAGCTTGTGGCTCCTCAGTTTCCTTATCTTCGGCCTCCTGAAGCCATTGTTCCACTGGGTCCCGGCTTAGAAACCTGACCAATCGTTGCCCTGGGAAGGGCCCTTTCAATCCAGTTCTATCCAAATCTTCCAGTTCGAAGGTGTTCAGTCTCACCCGCTTGGGGACCCGGTAGGGGCCTTTGAACCGTCTTCCCAGTTGTCCCGACCAAGTACTTTCTAGGGCCGAGTTCCTTAGCAATACCATCTCCCACTTGAAGTGGCTCCTTTCTGACATTCTTAACCTGGTCCCACCTTGCTTTGTCCCTCATTCTGCTGTCTAGTACGCGGTTGGCGATGTCTTCCATGACCTCCTCGTTCTTAAGGATCTGTTGACATCTTTCCTCGATTAACTCCTCAGTAGTCATTTGTGGATCATCATCTAACCTATTCCAGGTAGGTACCAAGGCTTCCACAGGAAAGTCGATCTCTCTTTCGTCCCAAAGTTTCGCCGGGATACATCTCGTTGTCCTTTTAGGGATCATATTCTCCGCAAAGACAGCCAGCTTAAGATACCGCTGCGAGCTTCGCAATCGTGTTCTTCAAGGTTCAGTGCCCCCTTTCCACAGGTGCATTGGCCTCAGGGTGATACGGCTCGATGAGTTTGATCGGTACGCAGAGTCTCTTAAGCATCCCCAATACTTCTTGGTTCACAAACTCCGTAGCATTGTCTGCTATAAACCTCCTGACGAAAGGATGGCTCAAGTAGAAGTCTTCTATCCAGTCCGCCACACTCCTCCCTGTCTTTTTCTTGAGGGCGACCGCCTCCACGAACCCACTCAAGTTGTCTCGCGCATCCAGGATATACCTGTACCCATCCGTTGATAGAGGCATGACCGCAAGGTCGAGGTGGACCAGATGTCCCGACCCTAGCACCCGTGTTGGTCTAAGCGGCTCGAAGACCCGCACCGAGCTTCGTTCTTGGCAAATAAGGCAAGTCTGGCAGTATATGGCGACCATGCCTGTCATGCCTGGCCAATAATAGAGTGGCGTTATCTTTGCAAGCGTTCCTTTGGACGACCGATGACCTCCAGCTAACCGGTCGTGCATTGCCTGGATAACGTCTACTTGCCTAGATCTTCCGCACACAATCCTTCTGGGCATAGCACCTTCCTCCCTTCGGAACAAATGCCCGCCCTTTAGGACGTACCTTTCGGCTTCTTCTCTCGCTTTAATACTGACTTCCGTAGGTTGTTTGCTGCCTACCAGCAACAACCCGATCTCCCGAAAGAGCCCTTCGTATGATTGGACATAGAAAAACTCCTCCCCTTCCTGACCCCCATCCTTTCCCAAGATTCCATTAAGCTCATCACTGCTTTCCGGCCTCCCTCGACCGCCATTGCTATTAGTTCCTCTTTCGGTCCCACTATCGCTCCCCATGAGTTCTTTTCTTCTCTGCATCCTCGAGTGGTGAGTGGTCTTTCTGTAAGTTCTGCTAATACGGCAGGTGTCCCCTTCTCCAAAGTCTGGATCAATAGTTCTCCGTTCCTCGCTCATCATTTCGTTATCCACCACGAGAGTCCCTCCTTCGTATTCGAGGAATGCGTCTATGGGCTCCGCACCCTCCACACCTTCGGGAGTGATACAGACCCGGCTCAGCTCATCGGCCTTGTTCCTAATTCCCGCAATTCGTTCGATTTTGTAATCGAACTGCCAGATAAATCGTACCCATCTCCCCACCGTCGGATCTATAGGCCTGTAATTCTTTAGGGCCCCTGCAACATTCGTTGGATCGATCCTAAGGATGAACCGCCTCCCAAATAGCTAGGCCTGAAAGGTCTTAAGGCAGTGCAAGATGGCTAGGACCTCCTTCTTGAACTGCGAGTACCGCCACTCTGCGGAGTTCAGGGTTCTACTTTCGAACCTAATTGGCCTTTCTTTCCCTCCCTCATCCCTTTGAATCAACACGCCCCCTACGGCTAAAGGTCCTCCATCCGTCTCTAAGATGAAGGGTCGTCCTACTTCGTCATTAAAACAAGGTGCGGACAGGGCGACTGTCTCAGATGTCAATATGTCCTTAAGCCTGTCTCTTATACACATCTAGATGTGTATAAGAGACAGGGTGCGGACAGGGCGACTGCCTTAGACGTCAATATGTCCTTAAGCTTCTGGACTGGTCCTTCTCGCTCCTCCATCCAATCCATTGTTCCTTCTTCCCTGATCATAGCCCGGATAGGCTCCGCAATCTTGGCAAAATTCTTAATGAAGATCCTTTAGAAACCGACCGCGCCTAGGAATGCTCTCACCTCCGTTATAGTGCGCAGGGGAGTTGGCCACTGCGATATCTTGTCCGTTTTCGTCGGATCTGGCTTCCTACTATAAGCACCGCAACGAAATCCTGGTATGGTTACGTCTGGTACTGCTAGAATACTCTTTGGTTCACTAGCCGTGATGTTGTATATTAGAAACCGGCGGAGCAAGTCCTTGATGTCTTGTAGATGGTCCCATACAAACTTTCGGATTCCTGGTTGGACTTCTGTTGCGTCCTTCTCCTGCGCACCTTTGATCGGATTGTCGTCGATATAGGGGTCACACTTTTCTGGGAACATGTCCCCGGCCACGGCGAGCATTCTGCGTTGCGCTTCGGCCACTGCGTTTGTGAATCCCATAGGGGTCACTTGCATCTGTAGCTGGCCTACGGGGGTGTGCATAGTGGTGTACGGCCTGTCCCGAACATCCAACGAAAGCTGGTCGTAACCTGAGTACAGATCTATCAGGGAGTAAATGCTCCGACCGGCATGCGATTCTGCTAATAAGTCAGCCTGAGGTAGCGAGCCAGCATCCCGGATGGTTACCGCATTCAACTTTTGCAGATCCTGAATCCACCTTAGTGTCTTGTTAGGCTTTCGAAAGACGAACCACCGGTTTGCGTATCGCGACGCCATAGGCTCCGCAGTGAAGGAGTCCATTTTTGCTCGGAGGAGGTCTGTCACTTCCCCTGCTATCCCAAATTCATAGGACGACCCCTTGTCATTCCAGCACTCATGTTCTACCGTGTGGATTCTGAGCGGAGGGATCAGCTTCGCATCCAGTCGTCCCTTCTGGTGATCACTAAAGGCAAACGCCAGGTGAAACTCCTTGCAAGTCCTTTTGATCAGGCGGGTTTCCTCTTCCGTTAAGAACCCGTCTATCCCTATCTTCATTGTGTCAGCTACCTCATCTGGTATCCGATGTCCCTCCGTCGCCCTTCTTTCTCGGATTACTCGAAGGACCTCTTCATCCTTCTCCATAGCCTCTTCCTTTGATGTCTCTAGTAGGATCGAGACCGGTTTTGCTTTCTTCCCTACCGGCTTGTACTTTCAAACACTTCCTTCCGGGATCTTTCTACTAAAAAATGAACAATCGGAATCGCCCTCGTTGCCTCTACGACTCGTGGTTGAATACTAACTAGTTTCCTATTCAGGCAATATCCCTTTTGCACCTCTCCTTCGAACTTGGCCAAGGCTGCTGAGTCCACTTCTACCTTGTGGTATCTGAGAGCCTTGATAAGTTTTAACAGATCGGGGATCTCGAGTGCGACTTCTGACACGTCTATGCGTACTTCTTTCCGTTTGGGCAGGCTAGCGCCAAGTTCGACCTCTGACTCCTTTTCTGTTACCATAACACCTAGGACTTCGTCCTCCTGCCTCCTCTTCTTCTGGGGCAGACCCATCTTGATTAACTCCTTCTTGTTGAATGCTTCCTCAATCATGATTTCTACCCTTTCTCTCATACCCTCCATCCGTGTGAAAGTCTCTTTTCGCGTGCTATCCTCGAACGACGGCGACCATGTTGCCAATTTCCCCTTCGGGGGTTCTCCTCCCATTCCAAGGAGTCGGAGGAGCTCTTCCCGGCCGGTCACTGGGTCCTCTATGTCTACCATGTATGAGCCATCGTGCAAGTGCATGCCTATCGTCTCCCGAGGATTATGTCGTGGTCCATTTCGTCCATTACGGTCATCCGCTAAAATAACCAGATCGACTCCCTGATTCCTGCCTTTACAGCACACTTCGTGACGTATCCAGCGAACGGGATTTCCCCGCCAGCTCCCCGGATGCTCCCTGTTACTTCCTTGTTTACCGTACATCCCGTGATCATTACGAAATCTCTTCTTATGAGAGTGATTTCTGCTCCCCCGTCTACTAACGCGTCGGTATGATGAGGTCCGATCTGGATTTTCAGCTTCCCTACGGGCAGTGCATGAAAGCTAAGCTTTGTCCCGGGTGGTGACCTCATGACCTCGCTGCCCTCTCGGTCGGGCAAGCTCAAACGAATGTCTGCAAAAACTTTCTCGAGATCCTCCAAGTCCTCGTGACTCCTCTGAAGGTTAGCCACTTCTTGCGGAGCTTCCTCCTCCCTCTCCCTTTCTGGTAATTCGGGGTTGTCGCCTATTTCTACTCGCCGTCGAGTCAACAGTTGTCCAAGACCTTTGGGCAACCTAGGGCTAGCCTGCAGCATGGTCTGAAAAGACACCGACACCATGGTTCCTAGTAACTTGCTAATGGTGTCGTCGATCTCAGGCAAGGTTACGATCGGGATTTGATACCGAAACTTCTTCTTAGCGGCGATAACCTTGTCCGCAGGCTCCTCTTCCCTAGGCTTCCCTTAGACTTTCTCTGGTTCCTCGGCCTCAGGCTCTGCCTACGGTTCGGAGCTTTCGGCGACCTCCTCCATAACGGTGTCACGGTTAATCCTTCTCCCAGCCGTTCCTAGTCGAGTGGTTGCGTTCACCCTATCACGTCCGTCGTTTTCCAAAATAAAGTTGACCTGCGGCCCGCGGCCCCGCAGTTGGTCCAAAATGATATCAACCACCAGCTCAGCTTCCACGGCCGCTATCTCTAACCCATTGAGCATGATAACATCTCGTCGCATTTCACCTTGTGAGTTCCAATTCACCCGCTCTCCCTGTGGCCCGAATATAATGACCTGGTGCATCTTCTTCTTAGAATATCATGGTTGAGCTTTGGGCACGCGCGCACATAATGTCCCATCGCGGTACAGTGCTTGCATTGCTCGTTAGCAGGATCTCTCCGTCCGAATCCCCGGTTGGCTAGACCTGGCGGAACCACAGCTTCCTGGGGAGGGAGGGCGGGTCGGGATACTTGCGCCTGCATAACCAGTAGCACGCCCTCCATCCTTTCAATTTTATTGTCGACCCCGTGCACCCGCTCATGTAGACTTTCAATCCCCTTCTTTACCTTGTCACCCATTCTACCGGTCAGATCTATGACATCACCTTCCTTAAGCAAGGCCAAGATCTCGGTCACTACCGTCTTCTCGGCCAGATCTGTTACCGTACTAAAATCAACATCCCTAGTGTTACAAATTTACTCGTCTGTTGGTAAGCCGACAGGATCTTGTCCTTGTCGAACTCGGAGAACTGTCTGAGAAAGTACTTACTCATTATTCGGTCCGTAACCCCGGGGATTCTTAGTGCTACCAAAGTAAAGTCCCGTAGGAAGTCATTGTACGTTGTGAAGTTCTTCCTCTGGACTGCCGCTAAATCGGCCTCCGTTGCCATCTTCTCTGCTGCCAGATACTTTCTCATCATCACATCCCGGGTTTCTTTCCAAGACTGGCTCACGGCTACGATGGCCATTATGTCCCGTCCTAGGCTCAAAGACACATGCTGCCCCAGGTGGTCCATCTTCTCCTCTTCGGTCCATTTCAACAGCGCAACCAGATTCTCGTAATCTATCAGGAATTCCGTGATGTTCGCACCATCAAACGTCAACTTTTTCTTAGCATCCGCTAGGTAGCCTTGATTTTTGTTTAGTGCTCGCGCGAGGGACGACACTATCTTCCTAAGGCCGCCCTCGGAGCTGTTGGCCTCGCCTACCATACTGTTATCCGGACCTTCCTTGCCGGTATTCTGTCCCTCCCTTGTTTTCGTAGTTTCTTCTGGGTCAAACCATCTCAACACTCTTTCCCTAAGGCTCCAGAGTCCTTTGCACCCTCGTGTTACTACTAGCGTGGTCGGCAGGCGGCTAACCCTACTATCTATGGTTGGCGGGGTCGTAGCCTTTTCCGCTTCCATCCGGATTTATCGATTCTCTGTCCTTCTGCCCCTCTTCGCTTTGTACGGCACTGCCTCCTAAGCCTGGTCCTCCTTCACTCTTACGGTTATCTCCCTCTTCCTCTGTCGCCATTTTGCCTAGTTCTGCATAAGCCAAAGAATTCCCAGGACACGCGCAACGCGAGGCATTTACATTCCCTAGGATCCCGACTCTGTTGGTTTATCTTTTGTAGCCCTTTTCCTATCTCCGTTTCCTGATTGCCTTTCCCTAAGGAGGAGCCACAATTGGCCCTGCTGCCCTGCCGAGCTAAGGGCGTGACGTGGCTTCCTTTATCACAAGCTCGTTTGTAGTGCCTTTGTCCCATCGGGTCGATGCGTGGGAGCCCGGGTTAGGCATCCCGCTAAGGAAAGTCTTCTCGGGCAGTATTTTTCTTTCCGACCTTCATGATCACGGCAACCATTAAGACTCTACCCCCTTCCTTGTTTTCTAGCAGGTTTTAATCATCCGGGTCCGAGGCCCCTTTCTTATTTCCATCGGCGAACTCTCGTAAGTAGCGGACTATACTCGATCTGCCCTATTGGCCCGCCTGCGGGAGCTAGTCCCGTTCTCGCCCTCGTGGCCCTTCCGGTTCGGTAGGTTCCTCGAATAGTTCAGCCACCCCTACTTAATAACTCTCTCCTATCTCGATTTCCCTTTCGATTATGCGTTCGCATCCCGCCCAGTCTAGTCGTGGCGCCCTAAACATCAAGATGTGGATGACTTCCAGTAACTCGTGGGCCCTGTTTCCCCAGATCAGTCCATGTTCCACAACGATATCGTAGAACATCCCAATAGTAGGGGAGGGGAAGTGTTCTGCCCAGATTATCGCCGAGTCTGCCAGCTCCCGCGCCCGTGCGAGGCTCCCGAAGACGAGGTCTATCATAAAACGGGGAACTCGGCACCTCAGCGGTGTGGTTGGTGCCCTGAATTCCCTCCAACCTCCCATTTCCACCCGGGTAAGTAAGTCCACGTTTCTTCTATCTCTGACTGATTGTCCTACCCGTGTCAACGCCCTGACCGCCCTCCGAAAGACGGGAGCCAGTTCGTGGCCTTGCGCTATTCCCACCCCTAACGAGTGCCAGCTGATCTTGGGCAGATACATGGTCCCGGTAACTTCCAAACTGGAAAATAAGTCATCCCCAGGTCCCCGGTTGATTCCCATCCCCGTCCACCGACATTCTACCAGCATGAAGGCAGCGTCCCTTTCCAAAGTCACGGCCCGCTATTCTATGTCGAATCTCCGATAGGTAGAACTCGACAGGAGGGATACTTCCCATCGTCCACCGTTATTCCAGGGCGGCCCGCGGTACCGGGGCTGGTGTTCCATTCGCACACGGGGTTGGCGTTCCATTCGCTCACGTTTTGTTGCCATCGTTGCTTTGGTGGTTCCCTGCATAGTCCACATAGAAAAGGTTACAGCCAATCTTCAGAATCCATCCACCTACTGCCTCCTTTGCCCTTCGTATTTTCATTCTTTTTTTCTAGTACCAACTATCCCTCCATACCCCTGGGAGCAGTAGCCCCCTCTGGCAGCTCGTACAGCCGGTAGAGATCATCTACGTAGGTCGCGCCCCGACCTACCTCCCGCCGGATGACTCTCCACATGGCCTCATCACTTATTTGTGGGACTCCCGGCCTAGTACTTACTACTGCTCGTAGAATGCAAAGCACCTCGCGCCCCTGTTCGTCCCCGAAAGGTCCCATCTCTAGGAAGGCCCGATAGTATTCTCGATACATTAATGCTTCGTCAAAATTTAGCCTAGTTATGGCAGTCACAGCCTGCTCCACTTGTTCTATGCCTCCCATTCATCTTAGCAGGAAGGGCGGTAGACTCATCCGTACGACCTCATTTGGCAGCTCAAACCCCCCTGTCGCGACGACTTTTACCTCAACCGTCACGTCATCTCCTTCCGGATCTGCAAACTCAAACCCCTCCCGCCAGGTTATTTGCCATGCCCCTTCGAACATTCGCACGAGGTCATCCCCGGAGGCCAAGGCAATCCCAAAGGTCCGCCACCCTTCTTCTGACATGTGTAAGGATCCCGTCGCATGCACTCGCCCTGGGAGGTCCAAATTTATGCCCCCGAATTCCCCTCTCGTACGCCACTCCAGTTCTATTACTAGGTACACCGTGTCTTCCACCAACTCTACCCCCACCCAGTCCATTACCGGGTTACTCACCACGTTCCTTGATGGCAGGCTTATTTTGACCCTGTCTCCCGATGCCCTTGGCGGTCGGATCCCGCGAGGCTTATCTTCCCATAACGTTATTCGTCGGGTCATCTCACAATTCCTCTTTTCCCGCTTCCTTAGTCCGATTGCTGCACCCACCGA